GCTCTTTTTCACAAATTTCTGTCTCTGCTCCTGTGACCACAATAATTGGGGTGAATGCTTACTGTAATTTTGCCTGAAGAAACCAGTAGGAATCTGGTTTGACAAACTTTAAAACAAACCAGATGCCTCTGCCACATATGGTCACATTTCATTTAGAACAGGCCCATTGAATTGATGGAACTTATGGAGGGCCTTCTCGAATCACAACTTACATTAAACAATAGGATTCTGTTAAGAACCAATGGTTTAGAACAGGCCCATTGAACTGATGGAACTTATGGAGGGCCTTCTCTAATCACAACTTACATTAAACAATAGGATTCCTACCAGTATAAAATAAAGATACTGTATAGCATTTACATTATTCATAAAATAGGTGTATTTATTTGTTTGTTATACTTATACCCCACCTTCTTATTAAGAGCTCAAGGAGGGGGGGATACATGGTTCCATCCTCCCAGCTCACTTCTACACTAAGCAGGTTGCATGTTCCTCTCTTCAAGTTTGTCACCTTTTTTAAAAAAGAAAACACAAACCCTTTGAACATACAGTAGTTGCAAAATTTTCCAGGGATGGTAACAGCCAGTTTCTACAGCAAAGCTGCAAATGGATTGCACCCACCTACCCTGCAATGTTTTAGGCTACCGAAATATGGGACAAAAACACATTTAACCACAGGCCTTTAGTTAACTGCCCCTCCAATGGCCATAACCGGTCCTTGAATTACACACTCTGTATCACTAAAGAAGTACCAACACATTGCTCTACCATTAGAAATTTTAACTGTACTGTATAAAGAAAAGGTGCAGCTGGTTTCAGTGAAGACCATGGCCTCTCCCAGAATGTTAAAACTCGTAGTACATATAGAAGTAACTTTTGCAGGTTCTGGTTAAATGAAATGTTGTTTCTTACCAACTGGCTCCTCTTTTCAGATTATGTTCCTTGCTACATCTGTCTTTGCCTCCTTTTTAAAAAGCCTGTGAGACAGATCCATGAACTGAACAAACAAAGCTCATGTTCTCCTAATTCGTGTATCCTTAAATGTCTGGAATTGTCTATCCACAGTATCTGCCCCACCAGACAATTACATGGTGCTAATATGGATCCTTCTCCGTGGCCTCTTTTATGCCTTTGGGATTGGTGCAGTTGCTCTGGGGACATGCCTCTATTTCGAGAAGACAAGTGAGTATCCAGGAAGCTTTTTCTGATGTTTAGTTTTCTTGGCCAAATGGGATTCAACATTCCACAGCTTCTGGAAGCAATGGGCATGCTGAGTCTTCGCTCCCGGGTTCACGATGGTATCTGGGGAGCCTTCGGGGCAGAATCAGAAAGAAGGTCCAACTCCGAGTGAACACTTTTCTTCAACGATGGATGGGGATGCCCTTGAAATCTCTTATACAGTCATGCCCCTCTTAACAATTACCCTGTATAACAACGAATCTGCTTCATGACAATGTTTTTGCGATTGCAATTGTGATCGCAAAATGATGTTTTAATGGTTTTTTTTCGCTTTGCGATGATCGGTTCCCTGCTTCGGGAATCTATTCTTCGCATTAAGACAATCAAAACAGCTGATGGCCACTGGCTGCTCAAAATGGCTCCCCGCTGTTTTTCACAAGACAGGCACCCGAAAATGGCCGCCGTATGGAGGATCTTTGCTGGACGAACAGGTATTTCGCCCATTGGAACACATTAACCAGTTTTTAATGTGTTTCAATGGTTTTTTTTAAATTTCCTTTGACAACGTTTTCGCTCTACAGCCATTTCGCTGGAACGAATTAATGTCGTCAAGCAAGGCACCACTGTACTGCTAACTCAGGACTGCTTTTTCCAGACTCCACTGCCTCTTTTTCTCCAAACAGAAAGCCTCAATGGTGCATCTCCCAGCACTTGGTAGCTTCTTCAGAACTTCCTGCTGGCACCAGCGAACGGCTTCCGGGATTCAGAAGGATCTGGGATTGCATCAGGAGTGGCCACAGTTGTTGAGTACCTGAAGGCCCTCATGACAACCCTGGAGCCTCAGGCCTCATTGCCTGGAAGTGTCCTTCACTGGTCCCTCAAACCCCAGGAGTCCACATCAAGGCAGCTTCTGGACACCTAGGACATGGCTATTGTTGGGCTGCTTTGGTGGGAGCTTTTGAAAGCTGTTGAAAATACAGTGGTGCCCCGCATAGCGACGTTAATCCGTTCCGGATTAATCGTCGCTATGAGGAAACATCGCTAAACGGAACGGAAAAAGCGTTCCTATGGGGCCCAAGCTCACCGTTCAGTGAAGTTCCTCCATAGCGCCGCCATTTTCGCGCCCTCGGTAAGCGAGGGCAGGGCGCGAAAACACGTGCGGCGGCCATTTTGGGCACCCGGCGGCCATTTTGGAACCGCCGATCAGCTGTTAAAAAAACATTGTAATGCGAAGATCGGTAAGCGGAACGCTTACCGATCATCACAATGTGATGTTTTGCTCATTAAAACATCGCAATGCGATCGCATTAGCGATCTAAAATAGATCGCTATGCGGGTTCGTCATTATACGGTGTGCTTGTTATGTGAGGCACCACTGTACCCTTTTCTTCTTCTGCATACAATACACCATGGAGGCAGTGGGACTGTACACATTGAGAGGAAAATTGAATGCAGACGGCCATGCCCTTGTACTGGCCCTGTACTATTTTGTATTTCTGCACTTCCGACTGAGTCATACGACCATTCCGAAGCCTTCCTCTTTTCTCCCTCAGTGGCCCCTTTGGCTTTTACTTGTGTTGGCCCCGGGGACCCTGAGTTCAAAATTCCAGTGCTCCCCATCATCAGTCAGCATCCTGTATGCTCAGTCTTAACTATTTTCTGAAAAGGAAGGCAGGATACTATCCTCTTACGATTTAATGTTCTCATAGGTTTTCTATTTATTTAATACATTTTTATACCATCCCATTTAGTGAAAATCCACTACTCTGGGTGGTCGTACACACAGATACACACAAAAACACAAACAACTGACAAAACGAAAAGCAAGCCCATACAAACCTCTTCCTCCCAAACTAATAAATAATAAACACAAACAAATACCTAAATCACTAAATATCTGAATATGTCATGACAACAGCCTCTCTGATAAAACTAAGCCACAGGTCCAACTCCTACTTTTTCAGACCATTGGATTTTTTCTCCTTCAGCCTCTGCATGGATCAATGGGGGGGCACTCACACATCCCACAATCCCCTTCGTTCCCTAACCAGCACAACCTATGAGGAATGATGGGGTTGCAATCCAGGAACATTTGCAGGGCCATAGGTCGCCCCAGTGTAGATGGTGCTATTTTGTCTCCAGAAAGAACTGGGGTCAGAGAATGAGTGTGTTAAACGGCTTATTTCTTTCTCTTCTTCTTTATGCCAGCTCAACAGAACATCCAGAAGAGGCCACTGTACCACAGAGCAAGTGAATGTAGGACACCCAGCAGGAAGTGACAACCTGTCTAGGAAATGGGCCAAGAAAAGACACCATTCTCTATTCTCTTTATTTTTTCCTCAGCTGTTGTCTATTCCATCAGCACCTGTGTGAACTATAAACCCACTCACCCCAAATCTAGTACAATGACCAAGTTTTGTAGCACAAACCCCACATTTGGTATCACCACCACTAGTCTGAGAGACACAGATCAATCAGGTGAATGCCCCAAATATCCAACATTGGCCTTTTCATTCAAAATCTACACCATAGGTTTGTAGTATTTTCAGTGCTTATAGTGCCTGCCAACCAACTGTGTACCTAAGAGATTTGTGGGGATCCTAAGGAATACCACCCAACATCCAACATTGTCCTTTAACCCAAACGCTATGCCAACTTTTTTTAAAAGTACTTTTTAGTCAGAATTTATGTAGAACACTGCAGTGAAATGGACATTTTAACATTGAGGAGCTCAGTACAACCATATGGTTAAAATGTCTGTTACAAGAGATGATGTTGACTACAAACCCCTAAAAAAAGTTAAAAGGACAATGTTGGGTTCTGAGATGTTAATTAGAAAGTGGACTTGATTGATCACCTGCATAGTCATGGTCATCTCACAAATTCAGGATTTCAAGAAACTGGAAAATATTTTCAGCATAGGTTTTTTTGGGGGACAGGGCTACCAAATTCCGGGTTTTGTAGTTGTCACGACTTGGAGTGGGCCTCGTTCTTCCCTCCAGCAGAGCTGAAGAACACTGCGGGGGAGAGGGATCACAGTGGATCGAAACCCATCTGTCAGTGCCTCTGAATCAGGCCATGAAGCCAAACATATGGAATTTGATGCTACAATGGCACTCATTAGTAGGATCAAATTCAAATATATTACCCTCATAGTTAGGGCGACCCCTTGCATACCACGAAAAGGAAGGCCAAGCACCACCAAAAAGCAGAGCAAAAGCAGGCACTGATTTGCATCATATCAGATATGCTGATTTATATGAATAAATCAAAAAAAGCAAAAGCATGTTGCTTATATACCACCCCATAGTGCTTAAAGCACTCTCTGGGCAACGTACAAGTTAATTGTGCAGGCTACACATTGCTCCCCCCGCCCCCAGCAAGCTGGGTACTCATTTTACCAACCTCGAAAGGATAGAAGGCTGAACCAAGCTTGAGACATCTACCTGGGATTGAACCCCGAACACAGTTTTGGCTGCAGTACAGCAGTTTAACCACCGCGCCACAAAGCACATTAAATAAATGATAATATTTGTGTACTGCCAAACCGATTCTGACTTTTGGCAATCCTTTCCAGGGTTTTCTCGGTAGGGACTACCATTTCTTTCTTCTTCTGAGGTGGCTCTGAGACCGTGCAGCTTGCCCAAGGTTAGAGAAGCTGGCTCTTCTCTCAGAAGCCACTGAGGACAGTCAAACGTCCAGTCTCTGGCTCCACAGCCAGATACCATACTTAGCTCACTGAACTATCCAGCCAACCCATTTATATATACACAGATGCTTTTAAAATGACATTTACATTTTAAATAAAGTTACAGAGCATCTCATGGGAGAGGAGGAAGATGGTGAGCATGTGACTTATATGGCTGCCATGGCTGCTGTCTAGGTGCTGCCCACGGTAGAAAGGGGATCTTCGAGGTCCTTGATCACCCAAGGCTACACAGGCTGGCTTTTCTCCCAGGAGGCTCAGTGGGGAATCGAACTCCCAACTTCTCGCTCCGCAGTCAGATCCCTAAACCAATGAGCTATCCAACCAACTAAATCTCTTATCTGCCTCCAAAAGCAGGGAATAGCACCATGATGCTTCCTCAATCCATTAGAAATACAGGGGGTGGGATTCAAAGGAAGCAGAAAAGATAAGGTGGTAATGTATTGGTGCCTTGGTTTTCTTTTTTCTCCGGGATCTAGGAGTGGGGAGGATGAGATGGATGTGGAATGGATCCTAGTAAATCCCATGTTCTTCCACTACAAAGTGGGAAAAAAGGAGCAGGAGCAGAACACTTACTCTGCCTGGAAGAGCCCAATGTCACAGATAAAGGATGCCTCCTTCCCTTCCTCCAAATTACTCCCTAGCAGATGATGCGACATGAGGGGGGAAAGCTTGAAAAAGTTACTGCTTTGCGTTACAGGCAGCGGCCATGCTCACCAGAGGGGTTTTTTGGGGAACTGCAGTCTAAAATGTAACTTTTCCAAGCTGTGGCTGTAGAAGCAGGCATACACGCTCCTCCGGACCCTTTAATTGTCATACAGAAGTCCAAGGTTTCTTCTAGTAACTGGTTTTAATCCACCAGACAAGCTGCCCCCGTTGAAATTCTCACAACTGTACCACACACCTAAAAGCACCCCTGTTTTGTTTTGCTTCATATTCAAGCGACCCACAGGCTGCAACTTTGTCCTTGCTTACTTCCAAATAAGCCTCATGCCATCATTACCTCCAGAAGGACATTGCTCTTAAAAAGTCTAAACTTCCAAATAAGCATAAAATTCACTCTACAGATTTTTCTGGGCTGTCGTGCCCAATCGTACAGTTTCATGAACTCGGGTTGCAAAACCTCTCCCCTGCCAGTTTTGTTTTCTTCAGAATGAGGAACAAAGAAAACTACCGTCCAGAGGGGACTATAACGAGCTTTTCCCTCCAAAGAAAGTAAAGCCTAGGCAATCATGTGTTGGCGGTGGGGAAATTGGTCCTCTTTCCTCTCTCCCACATCCAATATTTTTAAAAGATATCATTCTGAGTTCTTTTTGTCGCAGAATATTTGTGAATGTTTGTAAATCCTTCTAAATGCAAGGAAAACTAACATTTGTTCCACCGGGACCAGCCGAGTTCAATAGGCGCAGTTGTCCCCAGCATGGAGGAGATGACCCTGGGAGTGGCTCTACTATGAAATGAATGAAGACAAAGCTTCCAGTTCCCTTATCCCAGAGGCATCTCAAAAGCGACTTTAGACCACATTTCTTTACAAAATGGCGATCTGTTGTGGAACAACTCAATTGAAGAAGATGGGGATGTATCATCTCCAGGCTTAAGAGGAAGGTACTTCCAAATGCCAGATGCAGGAGAGGGGGATCAGGAGATAGGGATCTAATTGTCTCATGTGATCCCGAGGCATCTGGTGGGGCCCCTGTGAGATACAGGAAGCTGGACTAGATGGGCCCTTGGCCTGATCCATCAGGCCTCTGCTTATGATCTTAGGTTCTAAGGTAAAAGCGGTTAGCTAGACCTCGTCACTTCAAGTTTCATCTTATGTTCTAAGGTAAAAGTGGTTAGCTAGACCTCGTCACTTCAAGTTTCAGGGTCCTCCAAAATGTAGGTCTGCCACTGGAATGATGCTGTTTCTGTCTGGCAGGTAGATGGCAAAGATGAATAGTCTCTTGAGAAAAAAGAAGATGGCCATCCTAATTCAGCATTAACAAGGGGCTAGTTCACCCAGTGGTGTTGTTTTGGAACATTCTGTTATTTTTGCATTGCAGCTTTGAGTAGACCACATTCTTTGAAAATTTGGCCTAAGAGTTAGAAATGAAATAGGTGAGTAATTAACAGAATTCTTTCAAGCCAAAATGCATACACTTCTAGCAATCTAACAGATGGCTGTTGCCTATACAGAAATCAAATATAGAAATAAATAATGGGGATAGGGGGGAAAGAAGGTAAAGAAACTCTGTTCTCTCTGTTGAATCACGTCCAGTGGTACAAACCATGATCTGTTGATAAAAAATCTGAAATCTAAGCAATGGAATCAGAAGCTGCTCTCAAAGCAGAAGAAAGAAATACATCACCAGGAACAGATGGACACAAGAGCAGGTGATACCTTTATCGAACCACTAAAAAATTGAAAAAGTAGTTAGCTTTTAGTTGTCATACATCTTCCTCAGGCCATACATGAAGATTTTGTAGATAGCTCAGAAAAAAATGGAAGCAATATAAATACTGTATATACAAAATTCATGGCTGATGACTGTGCTCTATCTGTTTCTTAAGGTGAGCTCAAACGTTGGCTGCAAATGGCTTTCAGGGTGTGTGGTTTCAAACTTCACCTCAGGTAGCATTTGGCGGCCATTTTCCTCCCAGCTCTTCAAACAAAGAGCTGCCAAATAATCTACACAGATCTCCTTCCTGCCCACATTGCCTTCTTTTGAAACCCTCTGTTTGGCTGGGGAGGGGCTGAGGAAAAGGCTATACAGAAATGGGACAGCCTCCAGCAGAGAGCTGGGATTAAAAATTGATCCACCCACTAGGGGAAACCAGTTGAAGCCAAATTAACATCATTACTTTCAAACGTTTTTGATATCAAGGGTCCATGTTGTCTACAAACAGTGCCATGGGTGGACATTGACTGTATCTTTCATAGTTCAGAAAAAAAATTAAATATAACATACCTTTAGTGGTCTAATAAAAGTGTAACCTGCTCTTTATGTAATTGTCTAATAAAAGTATCACCTGCTCTTGCATTTGTGTTATTTTCACTGACCATTTATTTATTTATTTATTTATTTATTTATTTATTTATTTATTTATTTATTTATTTATTTATTT